GAACAAATAAATTATAGTATAGGAATGAAATCCAAAGTTTCGCCAAAAGAAAAAATAAAAATTTACAAAGAAGAATTGAAAAACAATTATTGGACATTAATTAATTTAAATGCATATAAAATTGAATTATTGGAAAAAAATATTAAAATAACGGAGAATGAAAATGAAAAAATGGAAATTAAAAAACAAATTGATAATTTGAAGGAAGAGATAAGATTGGAAGGTAATTTGAATGTTGTGTGATTTATAGAGGGTTTTTGGCTGGGCCGATTTGGTCGTGAGTTGCAAACGAAAGAGTCGAACGTGCGGGGGAAGAAGTGAGTCCGACTCTCAAGTACCAAGTCGAATGGCCAGGGTTATTCTTTAAAATTAGGTTGGGCACAGGTTGGAAGCTGTCTAGGCAATACGCCCAGTTTAATTATAGTGAGATTATGCTTTATCAAATTTAGTCTAAATAAAATTAAAAAATTTATAGGTGGAGAGCTGATTGAATTAGCAAAATACGTATGTTTATTAATTAGAATACCTATTTATGTACTATGCGTTTATCGGCCCGCATGTCCGCAAATGTTTGTCCGCTAATTTTGTCTTTTTCGTTCACACCTTTTCTGCCCTTTCTCATAAGGATTAAAAATTGTTATCATCCTACATTTCCTTTTCTTCTCTTTTCTCATAAATATGTATAAAAATGGTAAAAAGCAAAATATGGTCAAAAAAATATTGGTTTATAGAAAAATAAAAAGTAAAAATAAGACAACTTAAAATTATTTCGGAGGCCATATTTCTGCAATCTTTTTAGAAATCCATTCAAAAAATTTTCCTTTTTAGCTTCTTGCCTACACATAAATTCTGCTAAATAGCTCTCCAAATGATGTCGCGCCGTTCCTCGATGTTTTTTATTTCTCCATTTGGCAGTACCCCAAAGACGCTCAATTTTTTGTGTATTAGCTCCAGATCGACAAATTGTATCGGTGATTTACAGTAAAATGTGAAAAACCAGCTTCTTCAAGTTCTTCATGTTTGTAGCCTTTCTAACTGTCTGAAATATAGTACTCCCAGGACTTATGTTTCTCAATCTCTACCAGCAGCGTTTAGGCAGAGCGGTCTTGAACCTAAGATAATAGATAAACAAATGTAACAGAAACAATTAACCTGAACTGGGAAACATTCATTGGACTCACGGCACAGGCAGCCAAAGACCCATTGCTCTGGTAAGATCCTACCCATGTTGTTCTTACGCCGAGTAAATAAACTTTCATCTATCTCAACAATCATGTCTTCACCTCCTAAGAAAATAATTGCAATTATAAACGTTATGGTAAATACTAGAGGTCGGTAAAATCGCATTCACGGGATCCCGTAACGGGATTTTTTTCAAAAATTTTTGCGGGACAGGATCCCGCGGGATTAATCCCGTAAATCCCGTAATCCCGATAATCCCGTTCAAAAATTTAACGGGATCCCGCGGGATTTCGGGATTTTCATATAAAAATTTTTTACGTAAAAAATATTGAGGATATTAGAGGATTTGAAGGGATTAAGAGGATTTAAAAGGGTATCTGGGTATATTTGTGGTGATATCTGTGTTATAAGAGGATTTTGAGTGATATCGGTGGATTTATGAAGATTTGTAGGATAAGCTGGATCAGGAGGATTAAAGGCGATCTGCAGATCAAGTAAAGTTGGTTACCGGCAGATTAAGGTTATCAATATTTTCGGTATTACCTCGAATCCCTCGTTATCTTTTCAAATCGCTTTATATCTGCCTGATCCTTCGAAATCTCTCAAAATCTACCAATATCCACATTAATCCCTCTTGATACATCGATATATATATTTCCTTTAACAGGGAACTATAAAATAGGTTAGTCGTTTTTAGTTGTCTGCGGCGCTAACATTGAAGAAGGATAAAGAGTGGTTAAGTGAAGGATTAGTTGATCTGAAGGAATAGAAGAATATCGGTCGATTTACAGGGATTACGGTGGATTCGAAAGATATCGGGGATAGGCAGGAATATCTGGGAATCCAGCAGGCGAAAATTTTGGGAATTTTGAAAACCAAAAGAGCAAAAATCTTCAATTTTCAGCGCCGCCGGCGAAAATTTTGAGAATTTTGGAAGGCCAAGAGACCAGATTTCTTCCATTTTTAGCGCCGCAGGCGAAAATTTTGAGAATTCTGGAAGGCCAGGATACCAGATTTCTTCCATTTTCAGCGCCGCAGGCAATTTACATGATTTATCAAAAATCCCGTAAATTTTGAAAAAATTCACGGGATCCCGTAACGGGATTCTTCTCAAAAAATTTTACGGGACAGGATCCCGCGGGATTAATCCCGTAAATCCCGTAATCCCGATAATCCCGTTCGTCACTAAAAATACGGGATTTCGGGACAGGATCCCGCAAAATCCCGTACGGGATCCTGTCCCGTGCCGACCTCTAGTAAATACCTATGAATTTATGTGGTTTAGAAAGTAGGTCTGAAGGAAATTATTCCATCTGAGGTAATTATTCCAATCAACTGTAGTATGAGGGTCTATATCCAATTCGCGCACATAAAACTCACCGGAAGTATATTCGACTGTAGAAATTGAACTGCTTCTTCTTCAGTTTTCGGACATGCGGTCAATAAAGGCATAGTACCCTTTTTATTTTAAATTAAAAGAAATTTTAGGAAATTAAATTAGATAAATTAATTTTTGGAATCCCACATACTAACTATGATATTACTGAATTATCTAAAGAATTTGAACTTAGAGAAGAGCAAATTCGTGTATGTTTTTGTTAAAAATTGATTTAATAAATTTTCAAAATAATTTTTAGAGAATTATCAAAGTAAGTACATAATCAACTAAATATCAATGATTTATCCAACAAAAAATTCTTGATTTTGAGGAAAAAGCGTCGGGAATTCCCGACTTTCTAGAATCGTGTCGGCTTGATCCGTGTTACATACAATTCACAGTTCTTACGGGGAACAGGGAATTCGAACCGTGGGGACGTGCAACGGGGGCTTTGGGGGAGAACTCCCCACGTCACCGGGGAATTCCCTTCACTGCGGACGGGTTTCATATTATCAATATTCCACTGTATCCGTTATCTTTTTTAAACAAAAGGACAGGAGATATATATACAAGAGAAATGGCATAAAATTTAAAACTATCAAAACAACTTTTAATAAAATAAAAGAAATAAATCCAGCAAGAAATCCAGGTTGTACATTTAACTACAATCTAACTCAATTATCCTCTGAACTTAGGTTTGGATATAGTATCCGGATATCAGTTCCCTCAAAATACCCTATACATTACTAATTAAATATAACTAAATTACTTTTAAAGTATTTAATGCTTATTTGAGTGAAAAAGTAGTAACTTTGACAGGAGTAGAATTAAAAATACTCGCAAACCCGGGCAGGTATCGGCTAGGCTTTCAGTTCAAAAATATCTACCGTGTAATATTAATGAATCTTGGGAAATCTGGGATATCCTGATAAAGAAAAAAATTTGCAAAACAAGGAGTTTAATGTTTATTTAGGTAAGCAGGCAGGCATCGAAAACCGGGCCGCATTGGCTAGGCTTTCAGCACAGCTCTCTACGACGTAAGACTAGCGAATCTTGGGAAATCTCGGATATCCGGACTGCGGCGCAGAAAAGTTTTGTAACACAGTGTACATACAGAAATAAATTTCAGTTAAAATGTTTGAAGTTTATTTGAATGAAAAACCAATAATTTTGACTGGAGTAAAATTAAAAAAAATTTCAAAATATAAATTCGATGGAAGAGATCATAGTTTTGTAAAAGAAAAATATTTTCTTGATTTCAACTCAAATAAATTTTATTTTGATAAGAATGTGAATAAATTTAGAAAAATAATAGTAAGAAAGAATAATGGAAAAAGATTTGTAAATATTGAAATTAATTATTTGGAAGATATTAAATTATGTAAATTAACACATAAAATTGAGATTGAGGAAGAAGAGTTTATTAAAATGATTGAAGAAGATGATAATGATTTTGAAGTTAAATTGGAAGAAGTTGAAGAGTAGTGATAGAAAATTATTTAAAAATTTATTTAAATTCTCTAGGGTTAGGATTTTTAGGCACTAAAAAGTTAAAAATAGGCGCAAATATAGGCTCTAAAAATAGCCAAAATAGGCATTAAAACAGAAAAAAAGCAAAATTTGCTGGGATAATAGACTAAAATTTGTCAAGAAAGTCTCAAAAAATGCACAAATATGTATAAATTTTAGCAAAATAGGTTAAAAAAAAGGCATAATAGGGCATTTTTCAGAAAAAGTTATGAGATTTGAGCAACGATAAAAATATTAGTTTGAAAGCAGATTTAAGTAAAATAACACCTGGTTGGACATTTTAGCATCAGGCCTAAGAAAAAACAGGCATTTGCCCAAAAATCCTAACCCTGGTTACAATAACATTATAATTTTTCATTATTTTTTAATTTTCTACATTGCATTAGACTAGAAATAATTCGGAACCATTGGAATTCTGAAACAGACAGCCGGCAATACAAAAAAGGCCGTCACTTTATTAATTAAAAATATATCGACAATTATTAAATCTGGAATGGGTAGTTGTCCGGAATTGTCGTAATAAACTAAACGTTTCAGACAACCTATAAAAATTTTGTCATTTGAGATTTTCAAAATTATTTTATAATTTTCTCTATTTAATCCTACAAGTATCCCTAAAAGGGTTTTTATAACAAACTAAATAAATTGTTTTTATTTTTGATGAATTGCGAGCAATTAAATAACGAATCTATATACAAAATTATTGGAAAAAGAGCGAGAAAGAATAAAAAAATTGGAGAGGATGAGTAGTTTTAGGAGGGGGAAGGAAGGGGGGGGAGGGGGGAATTTCACGAGCAAATGAACAGTCACAACAATTTTTGGCTGCGCATTTCGTCACTTTTCTAATCGTTTACTTGACCTTAAAAATTATTTTGTTTGTGTCTATATTTTACTGATTTCCTTAAAATTTAGAAAATAAATTAAAAATGTTTAAGGATATTTTCCCAACATTAGGATTTTGTCCTTTTCATGCAGCTCTCTATATTTTTAATGCTTTCCTAACATTTCGGTTTATTAAATTTTTGTATATACTTTGTCGAAGTGTTTGGGGACACTTTATTGCAAGGCCTTTAAATTTGGACCATTACAGGCAGGCATGGACAGGTAGACGAATTCTATTATGAAATATACCTAAGTAGAGTTTGGAATGGAAAATATTCAAATATTTGGATCTGAACTGACGAACTGAACCGATAAATCATTGGTTCTTCGGCCGGTTATCACAGTACCTATAGTATTTAATTATCATACCATTAACATAGAAAGGCACATTATGTGGGGATTACCATATTGTTTAATTTCGCACACTTCGAATTTGTGATCACCTTAATTAATCACCTTAATCACCTTCCTTTGGTGACCCACCCCTATAAATTATTGTAAAAATTTCCCAAGGGAAAAAACTTGTAAATATTTTAATTTTGTGAAAGAAATTTGAAGTTTTACTTGGAATCAGAGCGAGAGTTCATTTATATAATCTCTCAAAATGTACAAAAATTATTTAGTATTTACTGGATGCACAGATGGCATAGGGCGCGCATACTTGGAAGAACTTGTCTCTACTAAAAATATTAAAAATCTTTATTTAATTGGGAGAAATAAAACGAAACTAGCTGCCTTAACCAAACATTTTGGTATATTCTTTAGTCAGACTTCTTTAATGAATAATTCATGTAGAGGGAGAATATGGTTGCCAGGTTCGAACAGCCGTTTTTGATTTTGAAAAGGATCCGTTGGAGGATTTGCCTGCCGAGTTGAAAAGAATGAATGTTGGAATTCTCGGTTAATAATTGAGGCGGAACTCACTTTAAGATACATCTATAGGGATAGAAAACCTCATAAGGAAATCTTGAATTGATCGTATCTCTTTGCCAGACCCTTCACCCAGCAGGGATGTCAAGGGTTGAGAAATAATTCGGATTTAGGTCGGAAAAAGAATTTGGGTGGCTTCGGGTAGCCCGTGCTAAACCTGCCACTCAGTACCAATTAAAAAAACGATTTTCAATTGAGGTATGTCTAAAATTTTAAAGTGAGGTCCGACTATTCTATTTAATTTTATCTAAAAATATTTTTAAAAGTTAATAGTGTTGGTATTGCACCAGAACAGGTTGATACTGTAGTAGATCAGCCCGAAGGTTTATCCTCGAAAATTTTGAAAGTTAACTTGCTCTCCATTGTCAAAATGATTGAATTAATTTTGCCTGGAATGGTTGAACGTGATTGTGGGATTATAGTTAATATATCTTCTATAATGGTTAAATAATCTGTATTTCAATAAACCTTGAACTATTATAGGGTTGGAGACCATTTCCATACCTTTCGACTTATCCTGCAAGGTAGTTTAAATAATCCGCGTAGATTTAAACCTTCAAGGTTAACTTGGATTTCTCTTAATGAAAACTAGTGGTGCCAAAATAGACCGACTTGGAACGAAAGATCGAGTCGTGCATTTTATTAGGCCCGAAAATGACTCGTACAGGCCTGACTAGATAACATACAAGCCTCGACCGTCGGCTTGTTTCCGTCTGCTCGACTCGAAAACAACAACCCTATTGAGAACGCTTAACTTGAGGGAGCTTCATAATTAGGAAATGATAAAAAAATGGTTAGGAAATGATGAAAAAAATGGGAAAAAAGTTAAAGTTTTGGATGTTTGTGGATGGTTCTTAGATTGTAGTTTGTCCATATATCCATTTTAGAACGGAAAACTATGATCATCGAGTGGTTAACCTACAAAGACATTTACTTAAAATAAGCTAAATCACTTTGCCTTTTTTGAAAAAAATTTCTTTCAAGTAAAGCAGCAATAAGTTTCTTCTCTGATGCACTGGCTGATGAATTTAAACACACAAATATCAAAATTCAATGTTTAATCCCTTCATTAGTTTCAACAAAATTAGCTTCTTATGAACCTGGAGATACTGAACTTTTTGTTGTTGATACTAATGTTTTTGCAAAACAAGCAGTTAATATTATAGGAAAATGCAGGCTTAGTACAGGCTGCTTTCAACATGATTTACAGGTGTTTTTATTAATTAAGAGAGTGGTAATCTAGATTTTGACTTGTAATTTTGTTATGGAAAAGTTTTCAGAGCATTACCTCTAAGATAGTTGGATTATAATAAATCGCCCTGGCTTTCACCTAAGTCGTGGCGCTTTTCGGCCCTTAGGTCAAGTCCTATCTTCTATTATACTTATCTGAGAACTCTAGCCAGGTTAACATCAAAAATTTCGGTATTTTCTCAGAAAACGGAGAATTTTCCTTTTATTTTGACTTATAAGACATTAAATTTTCGTCTTGACTTCTGGATTCTTATCGTACCGCAAAAATTACTCAGACAAATGCCCGTCCAGTCTATATTGTGCAAAGCGATTTTTTTAGAAGCCGAGGCTCAACTTCTGAAATCGAAAATTACTCAAATGGGACCTCAGAAATTGTAAATCAGCTTAAATTTTCGGAAATTTTTAAAAATTTCTTCTCTATTAAAATTTTAAAATCTATTTTTAGATAGCATTTGGCAACTTGCTAGGTTTTTGGCTTTTTAAGAAAATTTATGTTCCCTTTGGAATGCTCGGTCACCATCGCAAACGGATGGATGCTTATAGAAAAAAACATGAAAATGGTAAAGCTATAATGAATAATTGTGATGAAATTAACGGAAAATAAATAAAGATACCCGAGCAATTAATTTTAAAGAAAATTAATTCTAAAAAGCATAATTTATATATAATTACTAATAATATTTTATTGTCAAAAATTATAGAACGATGATTTTTTAAATAAATGAAATTTGATTAAAGTTGTCTTATTCTAAATATTTTTGAGCTAATAATACTGTAGAAAGACGGGATTTTTATTTGCTCAAATATTTATGTTGTGTTAAGCTAAGCTCCATCGATAAAAATTTTAATAAAATTGACTATATTTATACTTTTATGTAGATAAATATCAGCAATAACTTTATAACGAAGAAACATTTGCATAGGAATAATAATAATTGACTCCCAGATAATAGAACACGATGGATTATAGTATACATGTAGCACGCCTGCGGCGCTAAAAATCGAAAGCGTTTTTAAAGTTTTATCAAATTTCCTATAAATAGTTCAAAATTATAGGTCCTATTGACTTAGGTACGAAAAATAAACCAAAAATTTGCCCTGTAGGACCAAAAAATTGTCTTGAATCTTATAATATTTTGGTCTTGGTGATCGTTTGGGGTATTAGGAAAAAATCCGAAGTCTTGTTAAATCCTGGTTTTGGGTCTTGCAAAAATTTTGGTCTTATTGTTAGATATCTCTAATAAATGGATTTAACTGATTCAATAATTAAAAAATTCTCAATCACTCCACGTCAACTTCTTCCAAATTAACTTCAAAATCATTATCATCTTCTTCGATTATTTTAATAAACTCTTCTTCCTCAATCTCAATTTTATGTGTTAATTTACATAATTTAATATCTTCCAAATAATTAATTTCAATAATTACAAACTTCTTTCCATTATTATTTCTTAATATTATTTTTCTAAATTTTATCACATTCTTATCGAAATAAAATTTGTTTGCATTGAAATTAAGATTATATTTTTCGATTCGATGTTTAGTATGCGGACCCGAATTTTGCGGATCTGAGATTTGCGGACCAAAAATTTGCGGACCGACAATAGAGTCTACTGAACCTCGGAAATTTTAAAAATTTTAGCCTGCGGCGTTAATTAGGATAAATTCAGGCATCATGACTTTATGAAATAGCCATATGAATGATTTTTTCAAGGAATTTTCTCGATTATTTAAATTATGATATAATTTTAAGATAAAAAATTGATAAAATTTTTGAAAAATCAGGAAAAAATCCTGATCTGGTACGGATCATGGTAAACTCTGCCGGGATCATCGAAAAATAAAATTTTTAATTTTTTCCTTTTACTCAAGTGTCGGTCCTAAAATCTTGGTTCCGCAAAAATCAGGTCCGCAAACTTCGTGTCCGCAACCTTCGGGTCCGCAACTTTCGTTCCGCAAATTTCGGGTCCGCAAACTTCGGGTCCGCAAAATTCGGGTCCGCAAAGTTCGCGCCACGTTTATTTATAATTTATTTGGAAAATTATAACATTTTGGCAAACGATGAAAACATCAACGTAAAAATTAATTCAGATTGGTTAGAAAAACGAGAATATAATTATTTAAAAAATAAAAAACCAGAAGAACGTTTTTATTTCAAAAATTTAATTGGAAAATATTTAAAAACGGAAAATAATATAAATTATTTTTCAGTATTTAGAAAAGTTATGCATTATTCAGCAGAAATAGAAATTTCTAAAAATGGCATTGTCGAAAAATTAATTAATTCGTTACTAAAACAAGTAATAGTACATATAAAAAAAGTTTATTTTGAGGTCTTGGCACAATATATAGGGATTTTATGGGTTGAAAGGAAAATTGGTGGATATGAAGCGATAGATGAATATAGGGGATTTACAGGGATGGAGGCTGATTCATAGAGATATCGGGGGTTTGAAGGGATATCTGAGATATCTCTTAATTCGGAAGTATGTATTAAGGAATTTATAGAGGGTATCTGAGTTGTAAGGTAGAAGGATTCAATATATAAATCATGTTCTTTTAATCTTTTGATATCCCTTTTGCTCCCAAATCCCCTGATATCCTCCAAACGCTCTGAGAAATCTGGTAGCAAGGAAAAAGAGTAAGAAAAAATGGTGATGAAAATTTTGAAATATTAAAAGACAATTTAAGGTAATTGAAAGAAAGTTAAATAAATCTGGAAGTGAAATCAGCATTTTAGAAAATAATGAGCAAATAAATTATAGTATAGGAATGAAATCCAAAATTTCGAGTTAAATCTCGGACAACTCTCGGACATAACAAAAGAGAATTATGGAGGGAAAAAGTACTTATAATAAATAGAGTGACGATGAACATTAAATGGGTGAATGAGGACAAAATTAATGAAGGTGAACAAATAAAAATTGGACGAAAAGTTGCCAAATTGGCGACACCGCTACACAACAGAGTCATGTCATTATATAAGCTGATTGATTTTTCTTGATTTTTGAGATATCCTTTTCTACACAAATTTTATAGAGTTTTTGGAAGAACAAAAATTGATATTTTTTATTTAAATTAGCTTGAGTCAAGAATTTTTTATTCATTGCTAAATAAATTTTTTGAATTTAAATTTTTTGCTACTAAAAGTTTTAAATTATCGGAAAGTGCATTAAAATGGTATAGAATAAGGAAAAAAAGAAATCATTTAAAAATATTCATGTGGATTCAAATTATAAAATGCATTGCCATGATTCAGCTTTTATTACCACTAACAGATTTTAACTAATTCAATAATTTTTTAAATAATCCTCAATCACTCCACTTCAACTTCTTCCAATTTAATTTCAAAATCATTATCATCTTCTTCAATCATTTTAATAAACTCTTCTTCCTCAATCTCAATTTTATGTGTTAATTTACATAATTTAATATCTTCCAAATAATTAATTTCAATAAATACAAACTTTTTTCCAGGATTTAGAAATTCTCTTATTTTTCGAAATTTATTCACATTCTTATTAAAACGAAATTTGTTTGCGTTCAAATTAAGAAAATATTTTTGTACTACTTTATTCGAGATATATTTTTCACTGAATCTATATTTTGCAATTCTTTTTAGTTCAACTTCAGTCAAAATTACTGGTTTTTCATTCAAATGTACTTCAAACATTTTGACTAAAATTAATTTATGTATTTATGTATGTATGTACATTAATCAACATTTCAAAATAAATTAGAATTATAATTTAAAGATTCCTCGAGTTATTGAAAAAATCCAAACAAAATTGAAAAAATACGATATACAACCCAAAATTATCGACACTAATCTCCGGCATCGGCTCTGAACTTTTTCATGAGAATTTAGCTGAACTTTTCATGAGGATTTAGCTGAACTGAGTATTTAGCTGAACTTTTTCATGTCACAGAGCGGAGGATTTAGTGAATTAAGAGGGATTCCGAGAATATTGAGGGATTTATGTGAGTTAGGGAGATAAACTTATGGCAACTTTCTACATATATCCGAGATGGAGAAAGTTGCCGGATATCCGAGATGTTCTAAAATTTATTAACCTTACACGGTATGGTACCTGTGAGCTGAAAACCTAGCTTATGCCTGCCCGAGTTTGTTAGTATTTTTAATTCTACTCATGTCAAAGTTACTGCTTTTTCACTCAAATAAGCATTAAATACTTTGAAAGTAATTTAGGTATATTTAATTAGTAATGTATAGGGTATTTTGATGGACATGATATCTAGATACTGTATCTAAACCGAAGTTCAAAGGATAATGGAATTAGGTTGTAGTTAAAAGTACAACCTGAATTTCTTGCTGGGTTTATTTTCTTTATTTTATTAATATTTGTTTTGATAGTTTTGAATTTTATGCCATTTGTCTTGAACTTGTATCTCTTGCACTTTTGTATAAAAATGATAGCGATACAGTGAAATCTCGATAATATGGAACACTAGTTACTAATTTGCCTTACATATGATGGAAGGGAGTCATCATCGGTAATTGCATTACCGAGACCCCACTGGTTTTAATGGTTTTATACAATGATAAAAATTGTATTTTGTTTTCTATTATTAGTTTTCTACGTTTTTCTAAAAATTACAAATGGTCAAGGAAATAGTAAAGGGAGATAAATAGTGGAATCTCGATAATATGGGACACTAGTAACATGAATCTAGTCGATATGTGACATGGATCTAGTCGAGCCGAATCGAAAAAATCGGGAATTCCCGACGCTTTCCCCTCAAAATCATGAATTTATTTTTTATGTTGAATAAATCCTTGCTATGTACGTAGTAGTTATATTGACTATATCAACTTACTTTGATCATTTTCTGAAAATTATTTTAAAAATTTATCAAATCAATTTTTAGCATAAACATACACGTATTTGCTCTTCCTTAAGTTCAAATGCTTTAGATAATTCAGTAATATCATATTTAGTAGGCGGGAGACCGTAAAAAAATTTGTCTGATTTAATTTCCTAAAATTTCTTTTAATTTATTATAAATCTTAATTAATAAACAAACATATTTTGTCAATTCAATTAGCTCTCCACCTATAAATTTTCTAATTTTATTTAGACTAGATTTCATTAGACTTTTAATTAAACTAATAAAAACTCACTATAATTTTGTAATGCGTATGGCCTAGACGCTTTCCGGACGGTGACCAACCTGATTTTAAAGAACACTCCTGTAACTAGTACTGGTTGTACTAGATAGTGAGGTTCGACTACTGTATTTCTATTACAAAGTTTTACAATGAAAGTACCGGGTGTTGTGTCTTATAGTGAGTTTTTTGGCTGAACCGATTTGTTCAAATGAGGTGTCATTCGACTTGTTCCCTGAGACTTCATCCACGCTCGTCTGAACGGCTCTTTCGAATGCAACTCACGACCAAATCGGTCCAGCCAAAACCCCCTATAAATCACACAACGTTCAAATTACCTTCCAATTTTATCCCTTCCTTTAAATTTTCAATTTGTTTTTTAATTTCTATTTTTTCGTCCTCATTACCCTTTATTTTAATATATTTTTCCAATACTTCAATTTTATATGCATTTAAATTAATTAATGTCCAATAAT